CCAGAAACGTTTGGCTCCTGGAGGGCTTGGAGAGGAGGGGCTGATGGAGACCAGGAAGCCGCTGGAGCAGTTTGGGAAAACTTGCCTGTGGGGCGTGGACTGGAAAAGCGTCTGCAGGGGTGGAGGGGTGAGTGACACTTAGACGGAGAGGCCCTGCAAGGCTGCGGGGTTTCATCTGGGACGGAGGGGACTCACAGAGTCCTGGGTGCCTCTTGGGTGGGGCAGGTGGTGGCTGGGCTGTCACTGGCCTGGAGCTGACTCTGGACCCTGGAGGGGGGCCTTTAAGATCCAAAGCCCTGATCTTCTCCACGGAAAGGACTAGAACTCCCGCCAGGGCCTGCGTGTGGGGGCATGGAAATGAGCCAGCCGAGGATAGAAACGTTCTCACGCTGAGAAGGAAGAGGCGCCGTCAGACTAAACGGGGAAAGGGCAGGAATTCATAAGGCGCCCAGCCAAGGGCACGCTGCCATCCCGGCCTTCCTGCAAGCAAGGAAGACGTGCTTGGAGGGGCGGGTCCTGTCTCTCTGTAACTTGTGGCTACCCTGACTGCAGTCTTCCAGGTAACACTTTCTTAGGCCCCTCACGACCTTTAAGACACATGCTCTGCTCAGTCTTTGTAGGTGTCTGTTGTGGAAGCACACATTTTATTTCCAATAGCTTTATTGAGATAAAATTCACTCACCATACGATTCACCGGTTTAAACCATGCAATTCAGTAGTTTTGAGTGTATCTGCTGAGCTGGGTGACCATCACCACGGTCAATTTTAGAACATACTTTTATGTTTTAATGTTATCTTTTAGAACAATCGGACAGTTTTAGAACACACTTTCCCCCCAGAAGAACTGTACCCAGGGGCAGTCACCCTCCGCTCCGCCCTGCCCCCAGCCCCAGGACAATCTCTCCCCTCCTTCCCATCTACATTTTCCTCTTCTGTGCGTTTCGTGTAAATGGGGTCCTATAGCATGTGGCTTCTGTGACTGGCTTCCTGCACTTTGCAGATGTCTGCAAGGCTTATCCAAGGTGCTGCTGGATCAGAATTCCACTCTTAGGGATGAAGCCTATTACACCCCACTTTGTTTATCCACGCATTGGTTGATGGACATCAGGATTATGAACAATGCTGCTATTGGTGTCCAAGTTTCTGTGTGAACATCTGTTTTCTTTCTCTTGGGTGTGTGTCTAGGAGGGGAGTCCCTGGACCATAGCTTCAGGGCTTTCCTGGGGGCTCAGACGGTAAAGAATCCGCCTGCGATGCGGGAGACCTGGCCTTGATCGCTCGGTTGGGAAGAGCCCCTGGAGGAGGGCACGGCAACCCACTTCAGCATTCCTGCCTGGAGTGTCCCCATGGACAGAGGAGCCTGGCAGGCCACAGTCCATGGGGTCGCAAAGAGTGCGACACGACTGAGCGACTAAGCACAGTGCGGAAGCTTCATGTTGAGCCTTTAAAAACTGCTAGGCCGCTTTTCAGAGCGGTGACGCGCGTATGTGTGCGGCAGCAGGACGTGGTGTCAGTGCTGCAGCCTTTTCACCCAGACCTTCCCCTTGGAGCTGGTCTCTGCGGCCTGAAGCCTCCGGGGTGGCTGGCTGCCCAGGCGCCCCAGGTGCCCAGGGTGAGTGCCCAGGAGGCCCGTGGAGGACGGTGGGTGTGGGGCGGCGATCAGGGCAAGGAGGAAAGTCCAGGAGGAGAAAGAGAGAAAGAGGACAGGGCACTGAGGCAGGGGGAGAGAGGCCGGGGCTGCCTTCTGGAAGCTGCCCACTCCCGGAGCCGGACACTGATCAGTGTGTTTGTATGGTGAGTTCTCTGAGTAATTCTCTCGAGTGCTTGATTAAGAGGGGCGTGTGTCTGGGCTCCGCGTGGAAGACTGCACATCCCGTGCCGAGCTGCCTCCTGTTCGAGGGATGACTCACGTTGGGGGGGCGTGGGGAGCAGCGTGACTCCGCTCGCTTCTGGCCGCCCTCTCCACCTGGACTCACACGGGAGTCGCTGGGAAGCTTTTAAATATGATGCCAGGGCCTCATGCCAGGATCCCCTGTCTGGGCTGGGGCCTGGGTGCAAGTGTATTTTAAAGGCTCCCCGGGGACTTTATGCGGACTCCCTAGGTGGTGCTTGTGGTAAAGAATCTGCCTGCCAATGGAGGAGATATAAGAGATGTGGGTTCGATTCCTGGGTGGGGAAGACCCCCTGGAGGAGGAAATGGCAACCCGCTCCAGCATTCTTGCCTGGAGAATCCCATGGACAGAGGATCTTGAAGGGTTACAGTCTGTGGGGTCACACAGAGTTGGACACGACTAGAGCGACTTAGCATGCACCCTTTGAGTTGCCTCGTGAGAACCGGGGCCTGGTGCTCTGAGTTCTGCACCTTGGTCTCCCCGAGCCTTGGTGACCTACCTGGGACCACCCTGACCCAGGCCTCTTAGTGAGAGGGATCACTAAAAAAAAATAAATAAGAAATGAAAAAACATTTTTTTAATTAAAAAAAAAATCATATGCCATCATTCCCTCTCTCACAGCTTCCAAACGGCTTCTCATCAGACTCAGAATTAAATTCTAGCCCCTCCAGCCCTCCACGGCTCACCCAGAACCCCTGCCCATCCTCACCCTGCTCCTCCCCCCAACCCCGAGCCCTGGGCTCCCCTCTTCCTCTGCGCTCTGGACCTGCTGTTCCCTCTGCTGGGCCAGCCTTCCCCCAGATGATCAGTGGGAGCCTCGCTGTGCATCCCCCCGAAAGACGACACGCCCCCTACCCCAGGACCCCGGGCCGGGCATCACTGCGTCCCTGCAGCCCCCAGGGAGGCCTGCTTCGTGGACAGGGTCCTCGGTAACACACTGGGGCTGGCAAGGGACACAGATATCAAGCCGGTGGTGTGCTGGGAGGCCTGTGCCCGAAGTTGTCTGGAGCAGGTATCTCAAAAGAGCCAGATCAGCAGCTCCGAGGCCGCGCTGGCCGCCTCGCTGTCCACAGAGCGCTGGGGATTTTACGCTTGTGCAAGCGGGTCCTCCCGGAGAAGTAATTTTCTCTGCAGGACACAGGCTCAGCAGTAAATTCCCAGGCTCTTACAAGAAGATGAAAAGTGAGGAGCGTCTGGGAAGTTCTAATCGCACGCGAGCAGCTCCAATCTCTGTCGGTTAATGGTGTGGGGCCACGATTCGACCATAACTTCTGTCTGTCTGTCTGTGTGTCTCTTCCGTTTCAACTCTGAAACATGCCTCGTGGCAGGTCTACAGGGTGTGAAGTAAACCGGTGGTCGTGCAGACACATGTTTTGATGTAATACAGCCTTTGTTTCCCATTTTTATATCTTTATTATACCTTCATATATTTTCAGTGATATTTATATCTAACTCTAGATAATTTGGAAATAGACGGATTAAAGAAAAAGTCACCCGTAGTCTACTACTCAGAGAAGAGTCAGGGTTTTTTAATCTTCCTGAGTGGGAAAACTTTGGAATTTTTAACTTTTGCTCATGGTTCTGAAAGCCAGACATCTTCATCACAGAAACTTTGGGAAAGGCAGAGAGCCATAAAAGAGAGGAGAGAGAAGCAGGTCATAACATAGAGAGATTTGTCGATGAAGAGTGTTTCACCAGGACACACATGGAAACAAAAACGTCAGAGCAGCTGAGAAACTCTAAAGAAAAAAACACAAGATAGAAATGTCTCCCCAGGGGAGTTCCCTGGAGGCCTGGTGGCTGGGATTCTGGGCAACATTGCAGCTGGGGCGGGGGTGGGGTGGGGGGCTCAAGGGGCTGAGAGTCACCTCCAGAGGCGGGGAGAAGGGTGAATGGCAGCAGTGTGTGCGCGCACGTGTGTGTGCGTGTGTGTGTGCATACGTAGGGGCTGAGAGTCACCTCCAGAGGCTGGGAGAAGGGTGAATGGCAGCAGTGTGTGCGCGCACGTGTGTGTGCGTGTGTGTGTGCATACGCGCGGAGGAGGTGGGGAAGGAGCAGGGCTTGCGTGCACACACACTCAGGGTGGGGAAGGCCGAGGGGCAGGGAGAGGAGGGCGGTGGAGGCGACAGAGGTGGCCCCTCGGGTCCTGGGGGCCTGCGGACACGGAGGCCCTGGTCCTCCCGGGGCCCCTCGGAAGCAGGTGGCCTTCTCTGGGGGGTTTGTCTTGGTCACAGGTCACGGCTCCTGCGCTCCAGCCGGGGCACCATCTACCTGGGGAGACTTGGCGGGGGTACCTGGGGGCCCCCATGGAGAGACAGGCCTCCCTGACTCGGCTCCCGTGGGAGGCACCCTCTAGAGGCTCACGGCCACTCCAGGGGCCGGCCTGTTCTGTTCATGCTGCTTTTTGTCTTATCTGAAACAGAAATCAGTGCATGCCTTGCTTGCCTCTCTGGAGAATTACAAGAATAAAATGAAGCGGTGAACATGAGAGACGACCACTATTACTAACCGTGATATTCTGTGGCCGATCCCCCTTGGATCTGTGAGGGTGGCACCCCCTTCAGAAGCCTCCGGGACCCCCAGTCAGGGTGAGGGGACCCCACCGGCAGCTGGTGAGTGGTCAGTTTTCATCTCTGGCCGAGCCGGTGACCAGGGCTGGCGGCTCCCTGCCCCCTCGTCCCTTCTCAGTGGTGGGCTTCCTAGCGCTGCGGGGGACGCAGTCCATCCATGCTGGCTGAACGAGTGAGCGCGTGCTGCTCCTGAGTCTTGCAGGGTGTAATGCAACAATCTCCTGCTTGCTTTTCATGCGAGGAAACCACAGGCTGAGAGAGGAAGCGCAGGGAGCGCAGAACCAGGAGGCTCAGCTGCTCCAGGCGTGTTTGCATGCCGGGCTCGCCCCCTTCGGCTGGAAGCGGCCCCTGGACGGAGCGCTGGGCGCGGATTTTGTGCCCACGGGAAAAAATGCATTAAAATTTCATAACTGCTGCTCTCCCCGCCGCGTCACCTCCTTGAGGATAGAAGGACGGCTGGGGAGGAGGCACGGGGTGGGCAGCGTTCCGGCCCCCGAGGGAGCGGGCTGGGCCCGCGGCTTGCTGCCCTGCAGGGAGACGCCCATGACACGTGGGGCCAGGGGTACAGGCGTGGGCAGCGCCCAGAGAGACGGCGGGTTCGGCCGCAAACGCCCTTCCGCCGCTCTGTCGGGCAAGAAGAGAGAGGTTTAAATCAAAGGGGTGAAAAGGCTGGATTTGGGCTGAGTCTACGTGGTCAGGGCTAGGGCCTGGGGCGGAGCGGGGGAGGGGCTGCACCCATCCATTCTTGGAGCTGGTTACGCCTGTGAGGCATGCTAATACTAAACAGAACCGCAGAAAGTAGGTGTGCATGTGGGTGGGGGGCGGCTGGGGGAGCCCAGAGGAGGTCTGGGAAGGTTAGAGCCATTTATTGAATCACAGGTAATTTTCCTTTGCTATTTTTGGTAATTTTCTTAGGATGTATTTCCCATCACCACATATTTGTATTATGCCTGGCTGATGGCTGGCCCCCAACTCCCGCAATTGTTCCTAGGCCCCAGACATTCTGTATTAAAACTGTGAAATCATCTCTAAGCACTTTGTTATTTTGTTGCTAGACACTTGGCCCTATTTCATTTTGAAAGGACCTAACGAAGTACCTAACATATTTCAGTGTTACACTGACGCTGTATTTAACGTGTACCTCATGTGTGTGAAAGGCACAGAATATCAAATATCTCCAACTTTAGCTTTTAGCATTAATGGTCCTGTATTCTAAACTGAGGCACGTGCTTCTTGAATCTCATAAGGAATATATTCAGGAAGAACCAAACTGGGATTTGGATGGGTGGGAAAAAAAGTAATTTGTATTTTCTTTAATAAAATAAATTTCTGGAGAAGACAGTTTTGTTTGGATATAGGTATTGCAAGATGAACTTGTAATGTTCTTATTGCCTTCTTACCGTATCACTGTGTTTCTTTAGGAGAAAAAAGGTATCTTCCTCAACCCCGGGCAGGACATTTCAGATCCAGGAGCTGGATCTAGTCAAAAAAGAATAGTTGACTTATTCTACTATTCGGTCCTTAAAAATCAGTGCATATTTTGAGATTAGAGTGACCCATCATGCAGAGAAACTCTCCATTATTACTCCACTACGTTAAAAAACAAATGGTGTTTCAAATGAAGAAATAGGTTGCAGACTCACTTCGCCTGAGCCCAAAAGAAAAGCAGTCTATTTTCTTCCAACAGACAATGTTTAAAATTTGTGTAGAAATGAGCTTTGTCCTTTGTTTGAGAGAACAACAGCATGGCCCAACAAAAGGGTGATTTACCTCTTGCTAAACCGCCCTGACTGTGGGTGACGGAGAGAAGACAGGGATCATCAGCCTCAGGTGCTGGGAGCGTAGAACTCACGGGAACAAGTAAGAGAAACACGGCCAAGCCCGCCCTGAGTGTGCGGCCAGCGGGCGAGGCCGTGAGCCACCGCCTCAGGCCCCCGGCGGCACCCAGGAGCGGGGCTTTGATACGGGGTGGGGCGTCGGTGTTACGTCCCCTCTCTCTGAAGTTGAAGCAAAAATTGTTTTTAGGAAAAATGGCTCTATATTCCAATGAAGGTATTTTTCCAAGTCCCTTGTAAATTCATAATTTACTGAACCGTTTTACCCCACCTTTTAAGTGATTCCTGTGTGAATTAGGGATGGATTCCTGATTAATTTATTTTTGCTGCTGTTCTTGGATGTTAAAAGCTTGCATTCCTCAAGATCACCCTTCTTCATAAAATTACCTTCAATAAATTTCAGCCCAGAATGACAGCTCAAGCTCTTTTCTCCTTTGCGGGATGATATAATTGAGCATTCTAAAGCAAATATGAATACGGTGACCCCCAAAATGCACCAGATTAAAACCCACCAATAAAAAACGAAGTGGTACCAGAGAAAACAGTCTGCAGCTGTTCTTTGCTCTAGACACAGAGCAACACTGCAGATTCGGGGTGAGATCTGGTCTCGGCGTGGCATGCATTCATTCACTTTAAAAACTCTTATACATACGTTTATCTTCTTAGGAGCGTACTGCTGTTCTACATTACATTTACTCAGAATCTCTGGAGAGGATTGATTTTTTTTAAAGATAGTCAGCATCGTGAGGGGGCCTCTCTCCTCTTGTAAAGCCTGTGAGAGGAACCAGAACCGTGCTGACATAAAGGAGAACACTTCCTAATGCATGTGATATGTCGCGTGGTTCAGAAAACCCAACTCTTCTTCAAATCTAATTATCTGGTTTTGCCAAGCTTGGACGCCAGCGGCAGTCTCAGTTTGCACCGTGATCCCACCTCTATCAACACGAACGCCCCTAGTTAGTAACCAGATGTGGCTGAAAAAGGGGACTAATCAAAGCAGAACTCTCCTAATATTTTACCACCGTGGTAACCTTCGAATCTAGCAATGACACAAACTGTTTGAATTTCACCTGTGCAGTTTTTTTAGAGATAACGTTCAATTGCTATGAGATTGGAGTTTCAGAGGGTCTGATTTAGCTGCAATAGTTTAGTAAAACTCGGTAGACAGACCAAATGCCCCGGATTCCCTTATTAGCCATTATGATTTTGACACCCTCTGGATTGCTGAAAGTTTGACCAGACGAGCAGGGATGGCTATCACTGAACCTGATGATGTCTACATGGGGAGGAGCAGGGAAATCATTACATTTAAGAGACCAGCACCACCACCCCCAGCACGTGCGCGCGCACACACACACACACACACACACTCGTATTCAGGTGAAATGAGTGCATCTGGGAGCTGGAGCATGTGTTTGCGCTTTTGTTCCTCTCCGCTGCGTTTCAATTGGATTTCCTCACGCAGGCCCCAGGCCTGTCACCGCGGCCAGGCTCTGTTAAACATCGCCACCAGGCCACATTAAGGAGGAGGTTCAGGGCTAAGCTAATAACTCGCCTGCCTCCCTGACTGATCGCAGGCGTGCTGTCCGCGGTCATTGATCCTCTGCTCCTGGGGAGGGGGCTCTTTCTCGTCCGTGCCTCTGGGGGGGACCGGTCTTGTCCCCCTGTTCCTGGATCCTACGTGAGAAGCCAGAGCCCACTGTTGCTTCTGTGGGGCGCCTGTGTCCGCCCCCCCCCCCCACCCCAGGCCCTGTCGAAGGAACCAGGGTCACATGCGAACTAGCCTCGCTCTCGAGGTGTGAGCTCCTGGGATCACCTGTAGGTGATGAGTCCCTTCCTGCGTCCCCCACCCGGAAACAAAGGACAGGATCTACCACTAAATACAGTTTAAAGGAAGCTTCCCAGATGGCGCTAGTGGTAAAGAACTTGCCTGCCAATGCAGAAGACTCAAGAGATGCAGGTTGGATCCCTGGGTCAGGAAGATCCCCTGGAGGAGGGCGTGGCGCTCCAGTACTCTTGCCTGGAGAATCCCTCGGACAGAGGAGCCTGGCGGGCCGCAGTCCGTGGGGTCGCACAGGGCTGGACACGCCTGAGCGGCCGAGCACGCATGTGCACTGGCCCCTGTGTGGGTCGACTGCAAGATGGAAATGAGACCCCGGTGAGGACTCACCCAGAGTGAGCAGGTCTGGTTACTGCAGCACTGGAGACAGGGTCAGGGTGCCAGGCTCCCCCGACCCAAGTGGTGGTCCTCTTTTGGGGGAGAAAAGGGCAAAAATATTCAGATTTCTAACTACAGAAGCCATACCCCTGGGCCTTACTAAGTATGATAACACCTCTTTTGTTCTGATTTTACCTGTCACCTTTGCATATCCATTTTCTAAGGATTTCCGAAAAACAATTCCACTTTAACTCTAGCTGTGGAAACCTGCTCCAGAGATTGGTTGTTAGAAGTCCAGAATTATATTGTTAAAGTGGTTTGAGCTTTAAAGAGGGAATAAATTGATGGCGTGAAGAATCAGTGGAAAATTCTAGCATTTTGGGGTGAGCCTGTGATTTTCCTTTTGAGTTTGCTGGTAAAACAAAAAAACAAACCAAAACACCCAGCAACTTCGGACACTGCTGCCTCTGTGGACGCCGCTGGCTGATTCTTGCCGAGCATCGCCGAGACCAGTCTTGGACTGAGCACCCACCTGCGCTATTGCCTGCGTTCTCACAAGAATCCCAGGAGGTCTCTGTTGCCTTATGGTCACTGAGCTGAAGCAACGCGGTTGTTCTGAAAAGTCGTCTGCACAGCAGATATATCCTCCTGCTGGAGGAAAATCCGAGACATGCCTGGTTCCCCCCACACTTCCCAGACCCCACTCCACCTGTGCCCCTCCTGTCCCACGTCAGTATAGAGTGAACCTGAGCAACCGCAAGCAACGTTAATTCAAACTCCTTGTTTCATTAAAAAACTTTTTTAAGATTTTTTTTTGATGTGGACCATTTTTTAAAATCTTTATTGAATTTGTTGCAGTTTTGCTTCTGCCTTACGTTTTGATTTTTTGGCTGAGAGGCCTGTGGGATCTTAGCTTTCTGACCAGGGGTGGAACCCACACGCCCTGGGTTGGAAAGTGAGGTCTTAACCACTGGCCACCAGGGCAGTACCCCAAAATACTTTATTTTTAAATGATTTCGTAAACTACATACATTATCTCGGGCAATAAATAGGAGTGCCTGACCATAACTTTCTGTTTTTATTGTCATTTTCTTATTTTGGAACTTTGCTTTACTTTGACACAGTTCTTCTCAGGCACCAGTTCAATTTTGTATCCTACTTTTCTCCCCCTTAGCGTTATATCTTAAGCATAGCATCTGCCATGGTTTTAAATATGACACAGAGATAATATTTTAATGGCTGTATAATATTCCACCCAGTGGGTGATCCAGTTACCCAATAGCTCATGCTTCAAAATGTTAGTTTCCAGATTTTTATTGGAAAATATGTTTGTGTGTACAAACATTTTAATAACTAGGACATCCTCTATGTCATAGTCCAAGAATCACCGAGTTAAGCATTGTGTGTAGTTGGAGATAACTGAGATTCTTTAATTTTTTAATAACATAAAGCTCTCCTTCAATGATTTAGTTTAAAACTCCTACCATGGTGAATTTGGTTATCTTATTAATTTTATCAGTACATGGAGTGGTCCCTGACTTATTCAGAACCACTAAGGTGATAACCAAAGAGAACTGTAAAGTGGAAAAAAAGCACCATTTCATACTTTGTGTTCAATACAAACTTTCCAGGAGAAAAAAAAAAATCTGATTTATCTTCATATACCTATAAGTTTGGCTTGTGAATATATCTTAGGGAAGGCAGAATCAGAAGGATGCAAAAACAGAGAGGGTGTATTAATAGGTCTGTAATGATATAAAATTTATTCTGGGGGTGAGGTAAAACTTAATGGTTCATAAATAGCAAATTCATTATATTTCTCATACTCAGGTTATATTAACACCATATAACATCTTTATGGTACCATTAGTAGCATTTAAATCCTTGACTCAACTTGAAAAAACAAACATTTCCAAATCTTGACCCTGAAATGATTAGCTAAATAAAATGTTTTAATAAATATTATTGAATGAGAACATGGTTTGTTGGGTCATAAACTGTCTTATAAATGTTTTATGTCATCTGTTACACTGCATTTTTAAATGTTAACAAATTAATTTATTTTAAAGGCCACATCAAGGTGAAAACACCTTGTTCTCACGGGGGCGTTAGGCAACGGGACAATACATCATGCAGCCATTTCTCATACAGCCACATCCCTGGCAGAAGAGATGTTAAGACATAAAAGGTTGTGTGGTTTGTTAAATATTCATTTATAATTTGCATTCATTACTAAATTATGTGTTGGGCTGATCTTTAATTTTAAACATACACACAGTGTCATAAAACTCTCAGCATACGTAATAAATATTTCATAATTTAATGTTACTTTAAGCATTGACTATAATGCACACAAATGTTTGTCAGTCATGATACCTAATTATTCCAAGGCAATCTGATCTTCACTGGGGTTGAGCTCCATAATTCATTCCAGCCTTCAGGTGACTAAGAGAAATATCAGTTTGGGGCGCCATCTTCTCCTGATGAATGGGGATCCAGCTACGGGTCCCTAGGGTAACGCTGCGATTCTTTGCCCCAAACCATTTCAACGCTGAGTGGTGACTTGTGAAGTGGTGGCTTAGAAGTAGCGGGCTTGTTTTTCATGTGGTCTCACCTTCACTTTTGGTTTGGGAGCTTGAGAATTGAAATTCTTTGAGATTCAGTCCTGTGAACTGACTATCCCAGAATACAGTAAATTTCAGGCTAAGAATTTCCCATGCTTGAATAGCCAAGTATTTGACAAAGCTCCACGGCCGTGAGATTCAATTTGCATTTGCTAAACTGAAAAAGTACAGTCATCCCGAGCTAGCGGCATGTGGCGGCGTGGTGATTTGTATTACAGGAGCCTGGTAGCTGCCCAATGAACCATGTAAAAACAGTTCATTAAAATGTTTATGTGCTTGGCTGGTTAATGCAAAGAGAGCTTTATTGCAGCCTTATAAGCCCTTGGTAACTTCAAGATGAAGTCAGATCAATTCACTGTAATAACTCAGGCATATGCTTTACTTCTGGACGGGGAAGAAGAACCAAGACACTTCCTTATCCTCCTTGCTTTTATGACCACCTCTTTTCAGGTTTTTGAAGCTAATCTGGACTGTTTTCCTTTGGTTCTTTTTAAGCAAGATGAAATATTCCAAGTTCATTTGCAGGTAATTTGTAATAACTTTTTTTTTTTGCATAACACCATGGAGTTTTGATCATAATAAACCTTAATCAATGAATATGTGACATTTCTGCATCTCTGCCTTTTGATACATCTGCATTTTGTTTGGAGGTGAAATTTTTATGGAATATTAACTGTGCTGATGCTGAAGTTCCAATACTTTGGCCATCTGGTGCAAAGAGCCAGTTCATTGAAAAAGGCCCTGATGCTGGGAAAGACTGAGGACAGGAGGAGAAGGGGGCAACAGAGGATGAGGTGGTTGGACGGCATCACCGACGCGATGGACGTGAGTTTGAGCAAGCTCCAGCAGACAGTGAAGGACAGGGAGGCCAGGAGTCCAGTCTGTGGGGTTGTAAAGAGTCAAACACGATTTAGCGACTGATCAACAACTACATTGAGCATCAAAAACTAATTCGTATTAAATTGGATGACAGACATGTTAATTTTCTCACCAGCTATTTTCTTTCATTTGCTTCAATGATTTTGGGGATGCATGGACCTTTTTTCAGCTCATGAGGGTATGACTAAGAGACTAGGGTTAGTCATTTAAAAAGAAAAAACTTAACTATTGGGTGTATAACAGAAAATGATTTGTTTTTAAACTTCCTTAAAACTGGGACTTCCCTGGTGGTCCAGTAGCTAAAACTCTGAACTTCCAATGCAGGGGACCCAGGTTCAACCCCTGGTTTGGGAATTACTAATAGATCCCACATGCTGCAGCCAAGAGTTTACTCAACTAAGACCTGGGGCAATCAAATAAAATGAATAATTAAAAGAACACCCATTTTAAATAGAAAATTGATCCACATGGACATTTGCTTCCATGGGATAAACAGAATTAGACCTTTGGAGGAATAACAGTGTTTCCAATCCATCTACACCGTCTTCCAATAAACGGTTTATTCATCAGTTTGGTGTGCTCAAAACTGTCTCCAAAACTAGCAAGAGGAAGAAAGATGCTTTCAGTTGGAAAACCAAAGGTGCTGAAATATGAAAATAGTGTGATATTAAGACAGATATCCTGTAAGTTTTCTCTCCTTCCCTCATTACACATCGCTATCTATTATAACAAGCAGCACGCAGGGGGAAGAGCCCAGAAGGCCCAGAGCTTGCGCTGACACTCAGAAGGCATCAGCTAACATTGGGGCTCCTTGCACACAGCAGACTTCTCAGAACATGCTTAATATTCTGTGCTCAGTCAAATCACGGCATCTTAATGTACTAGTGAGCATCAGAAACCACTCCCGCCCTCCCACCTCACGCCGAGCTGGAGACTGGACAGCTACCCCTCCTTCGCAGCTGTTTTCCCCTAATTCCTAGGACTGTTCAATCCTTCAGTTAAGGAGCTGTTTGGGGATTTGGTACTACATCAAATAAAGATGAATTTGACTCCAATGCATGGTGAAAATGAAAAGTGAAAGTGTTAGTCACTCACTTCTGCCTGACTGTTTTGTGACCCCCATGGACTGCAGCCCACCAGGCTCCTGTTCTCCAAGCAAGAACACTGGAGTGAGTTGCCATTCCCTTCTCCAGGGGATCTTCCCAACCCAGAGATTGAACCTGGGTCTCTTGCATTGCAGGCAGATTCTTTACTGTCTGAGGCATCAGGAATATATTCAAAATTGTTAGTAACACCTGAAAGCAACATTTAGCAAGATGTTTCACACACGGCAGTACTCAATAAACTTTTGTGGAATGAATGAATGTTTATAGGAGTGGTCTTTTAAAGTCTTTGAAATCCGGTGGCTGGGTGTCCTCTTACCTAAGAATATGAGGCTGGAAGGAAGGAAAGGTAGAGAAGAATCCAGGAAATTAAATACTTAAAGACAAATATGTATCTGCTCTGGAGCCTTAGCCTCTCTTCAGATGCACACGGAACACCATTTAACATGTCTCTTAGCACACTGCTGGACACCAGATATCTTCCTTCTCTATGTGGGTTTTAAAGTAGACTTGTGTTGTCAAATTGGGTCTGGAGCCACATGCATTCAAGACCACCCAATTGAGAATCTCTTCTTATTTTAAACTGCAATTCCATCAGCTTTCATATAAGATCCAGGATGTGAGCAGTGATATAGACTCTGAGTGCACCATCGTCTGGTTCGAGACTATAGATGGGACACTTAAACGCACTGACCTACCTGTAACTTAACAGCAGCCGTATGGACAGACGTCAACGGCAGACTTGGACTTGGATGGCTGTTTCGAGCTTCAGATGAGATTCAAAGCGAATCATACTGAGTGAATTAGGTCAGACGGAGAAAGACAAATATCATATGACATCACAAAGATGTAGAATCTAAAAAAAATGGGACAAGTGAACTTACTGATATTTACAGAACAAAAACAGACTCACATACATAGAAAACAGACTTCTGGTTACTGTCGGGGGCAGGGGGGAAGGGAATGGAGGGATAAACTGAGCGACTGGGGTTGACACATATACTTGGCTACACATACAATAAACAACAAGGACCTATTGAATAGCACGGGGTACTCTATGCAATACTTTGTAATGACCTATATGGGAAAAGAAGCTAAAAAAGAGTAGCTATATGTGTATGTATAAGTGACTCACATTACTGCTCACCTGAAACTAACACATTGTAAATCAACTATGCTCCAATAAAAATTTAAAAATGAAGAATCAATGTTTCCCAAATTTGACTAAAATCTGTGTGTGCACACATGGTATAACTATTACTGTGTCAGTACAGTGAGAGAGGGAACATTATAAGACTTGAAACTCAATATACCTAAGGTCATGGTTTTCAGATCCTACAATGAAAAAAGAGCTTGGATACGTTTAATTAAGCTTCCTCATCTCTCACAGCTTCAGAAAGCCCGAGTAGGGTGGAGAGGGGAAGGCTTGCGAGGCATGTGGGTCCGTCCCCTCAAGCTCCCTCCAATTTAATTGAGAGTGTAAATGACCCCCAGTCCTGCAGCATCTCAACCTGATGTGTGTAATTGATGGCCAAACATGTTTTACAGGCTGTTAAATGGTGAGCCCACAATGAAATGTATATACGGTTGATTAAAGTGATTTTTGTACAAAAGGGTCAGAGACATTAACAAGTTAAAAGAAAGCGTGAGCTCTGTGCTTATTCTTCTAACCTTTGTTCGGTTTTTTCCCATAATTGACACCACATGTTTACTATGCCTATTTTGGTCAAATTTAAGGCTGTAAGTATTGTATGTATTTAGAAGTGCTCTTGAGATTAGGGCTCTCACAGAGTGCTCAGAAAGGTAGATTTCAGATATTATTATAGCGCATGACGAAGGGGGGAGATTGAAAGAAACCCCTCCAGCCTGCCCTGCATTAAGTTGTCTAGCTTGTGATGGCAGACAAAAGTAACATTCACTCTGAAAAGGATTCGAGTGGACATCTAAATGATAATTACCGGGTAATTTTGTTTTGGTTATAATTTGTGGTGTTATTTTTATAACTGACATGAGACATAATAGATTTTCAGGGTTCTGCAACAACTAAGCAACAAATGGAAGCTGTCAGGAAATATTTGTAGGAACAGTTCTTGAAGAAAGCTGTGACGCTGTTGAAACACTGCACAGGCCTAGCGTTTTTTTAGCCCACACATCAGCGGAATAGTTTCCTAAAAATGTAACTGCTCCGGCTGGAAACAGTCTCTGATTTTCATTAATGGGAAACCCACAGGGTCTCTTTCGGGATCTTTCAACACGTCCTGTGTCGCAACGTGAACATCCCTGGGCATCTGCTGCTGTGGGCCGGTCACCTCCCCGCCGCGGTCGGGCCCTGCCCCCTCCCTCCTCTTCTCTCTGCTTCTCTCGGTCTCTCCAAGGACGCTTCAGGCTCTTTAGCTCCTGGTCCTTAACTGGCAGCTCTCAAATCGACTGCATGTACTGACCTCTGCCCGAGCCATGAGCTGAGGCCGACGGACAGACCACCCAAACTGCCCGCAACTACCAGATGGCGGTTGCACTCCGCCCTCCCCGAGCGATGTAATTTGGTAGAAGTGACCTCTCTGCTCGTATGGCTCTGGTTATTTGCTGACTTGTAATTTTAGGCCTTTGCGTGCGGGTCTGATCTTCCTCCCCGACGATAAGCTCCTGGACCACAGGAGTGACGCTTCATGCTTTCTGTGCGTCTGCCCTCGCTCGGAGTGTGGCCTGGTGCCCCGCACGCGGTGGAAATTCACTAGGGACACAGAACATCCTAAATGTAATTGGCAATGCCCGGATTGGCCACATCCCTGGCTAAATCTGCAGCTACTCAAAGTATGTTTCCAGTACCTTATTTCCATAGGTAGGAAATCAAGGCGGGNGGGGGGGAGGTATTTATTTTTAAATTTCTACAGTATCTTATTTCCAGAGATTTGAAATCAAGATGTTCCATCTTCCTTCCCTGAGTAGGAAATAGCTCTCACAGCCTGCGGTGGCAGTACAAGGCTGAAGGAGTTATAATAATCCTTGGACTCAAATCTGATAACAGATTTTATTAACTGGTTGGGGACCGGAACAAGACTTGTGGGGGAAATCAGCATGACTCAAGCAATTCTAATCTGCAGGCACAGAAACTGTACTTTTATTTGAGCGATGGCTTTACTAGGAGAAATTCAACCAATCATTTAAGTTCTTTTTAATTATAGGAAAACGGAAACTCGGCCTCAAGCACCCAGATACACTCAGTATTATAATAGTGAGGCTGGCATTGCATTTTTGTTTGCTTCATGGTGATCTGGGGGAGATACACAAGAAGCTACCTATGTTTTTTTATGCATGTTTCTGACTTTTCTAATTTTTCTTGACTCAGCTTTTCCATCATATAGAGACCTAAAATAATGAAATCAGCTCTTGCAATAATGAAAGCAGTTAGGACAAACCGGTGCTTTTCCATTTATGTGGTTTTCCAGAAAAAAAAGATTCTTTCATTCCCAACTATCTTTGTCCTCAATTTCTGTCCAGTCCTTGATACTAAATTTTAATTGAAATGAGATCATTTTCGAGTCACAAGCTCAAGAGTGCAAATAAGACCTTTCTAATATGTTATAAAAGTGAAAATTCAAAAATACCGAAGTTAGAAACCATGTTTCTAATGGTTTTTTCCATGACTAACCCATGTCTATTCTCTATGAAATTGATGTCAAAAAAGTATTATATATTTTCAGTAGGAAATAGAAGGCTGCCCTCTACTATCCTTGTCAGGACGCCGTATCCCTTTAATCATACTTTTCATTTCAGTACATTGAAATTTCCGTTACCAAGGACAACATCATAAATAAAAGTGTTTGTGAAATTTTACCTGCAGCTTTCTAACTTTGTGCATTAAGCATGAGGCCAGCAGAGAGGTGGTCAAATGTGAAAATTTATAATCATTTATTACGTACGGCTGAAGCAAGGAGGGAATAAAAGCGTGAAGGCATACATCTATAAACGGAAGCCGAAAAGCTTAAATGAAAAGTAAAGTGAATTTCTGTGTCTTGTCATAAAGTAATGAGAAGCTAGAGCTTTTATTCATAGCAACCCAAGATGCATTTACTCTCAATCTAGCTTCGGCAGTAAATGCTTCCCTGATGTATTGCTTTGGACTTACAGAGAAATATTTGTGCTCTACATAATAGTATAGTTAGGAGAATTACTGCATGGTTGAGAAGATTCTATAAAGGTTTATAGCTGGCGGTGTTACTGTAATTTAATCACAATGTAGCTAATGTCGTACTTTAATATCACAGGTTACTTTTTTATTTACCATTTATTAGTAACTGACAGAGTCAATCATCTCTACATCATAAACAAATCATGGGAGGGTTCTATAGGAACCCTAAAACCCCAGAATAGATGGACTGTGTTGTCATACACTACCACATTTCCTGTAATGAGCTAACCATCAGATTATTATTTAGATCTGTGAAATGTAAGTCAGGATCCTCGTTCGCAGTTCATTGGCCAAAGGAAACTTGAGAGCATTTTATGTCATCAATACAATTAACGCTGCACATCCTTGAAGCATGGAAATAAGTCATCGATCCAATGTGAGCAATGATTAGAAGTGATTTCTGAAGAATCCTAAGGTATTTAGCTAGAGATTTTATCTACCTGTTTTGTAATATATTCATGAACATTACTATAATATTAACCTTAGCTTTTAACTGAAGTACAGTTGATTTATAATACTGTGTTCGCTTCAGGTGCCCAGCATAGAGATTCAATATTTTTGCGGATTATATTCCATTATAGGTTATTACAAGATAATGGGTATTATTTTCTGTGCTATGCAGTCAATCCTTATTGCTTACCTATTTTATATACAGTAATTTGTAAGCTTGAACTGATGTTTTCTCATTAGAATTTTCTACAAAAAGATTTTTTGTTTTTACATTTGAAAATTAAAAGCAACTGCTATTATACTTTACTTATATACACTCTTGTTTTGCTAGATAGATAGGTAGATAGAATAATAGATACAGAGAGTGACAATTAGTTGTTACATAAATCAAGCCACATTGATTGATTGATGCAAGCATTAATCCAGACTAGTGAAAAAATGGGACTTGACTCGTGTGTGGGGGCCGTGGGATGTTGTGGAAAGTGGACTGAGGCCAAATCTACATCAAAGCCAAGTTTAGTTTTCTGACCTTGGACAAGTCTCCTGACTTTCGTGAATGTCAGTAGCTCCATCTGTAAAATACGAGTAGTGGTGGACTTCCCTGGTGGTCCAGTGGTTAGGACTCAGCGCTTGCACTATAAGGGGTGAGGGTTCAATCCCTGGTCAGGAATCAAGATCCTGCAAGCTGTGGGGTGCAGCAAAATAAGAGAGAACAAAAGGAATAATGACACTTGCCCTACTCACCCCTCTATTGCTGTGAGAATCAAACAAGATATTATAGGAAACGCATTCTGCAGATCGAAGAGGTGCATGAACTATCTGTGCATTGGACGTAAAAGACACTGAAATGAACACAGAATTGAGTGCTCAGAACAGATACTTTTCTATAATACTTGAACAACTTTTATGACAACATGGGTAAAAAAGGCCCCCCAAAAGTCTGTCATTTAGTTAGTAATTATTGAGGACCTACTATGTGTCAGGCACTGATGGAGCCTGTTGTATTAAGAAAAGTTGATGAAAACTTCTGAAGGGGTAATGAGCTTGAACCAGGTTCAGTGAGAGTACCCAGCCGAGTCCCATTCACCTTGCCTGCCACCCTTTCATGGAGGCGAAATACTCCTCCACCCTCCGTGGGATCAATTAGATTCTCTACATTCCTTAATTTCTGGGAATGTGCAGGCTTTCAAATGCTCCACAGATGTTCAGCTCACGCAGGGCTGGTCCTGTGTGACGTCGTTAAGCTCTAATTCGGTGACAGTGACTGATCTCTGGTTAGGAGGTGATGCTTCTGGAAATAAAAATAGTCCTGCTCCAAAGAACAACCTTAGATTAACAACTCAAAGCAAGAGAAACAGTCTTCAGGTACCTGAAGTGACCGTTCAGTTGAGAACTGAAGTGTCAACACGGTCGTGGGCTTTATTGATTTTCCCATGGATGTTATTTAGTTCTGGGTGTCTGGGAGATCCCCTCCTTTGTCAAAAGTCTTGCTAGTTTTTCAAGGTTCCGTTAGAGGGTCTACCCCTCGTATTCCATCACACTATTTCTTACTTATAATTCTAAGATTCTGCCTATGTTCCGTTATTTCATGTAATTATTTAGTATAGTTTAAGTTTTTTAAAGCAAGGGCAGTCATCTTCTTTGAGCTCCTTTTGGCTTCTGGTAGCATGTCTTGCACAAGAAGCAAACCAAATAATCATTAAACCTAACTACAACCACTTAAAAAAATTGTCTGACATAGGTGAGCATACAACATTAGGATTTTTATTAATAACACACTGGTGACCTCAAAAATAACAGCTAAAGCTATTTTAGCCACTAAAGAATGGCGGCATATTGGGTTGATTTTCATCTTATGAAATTAATTTTAAAATATCACCAGTCTAGGGACTTCTCTGGAAGTCCAGTGGGTAAGACTCTGTGCTCCAAATGCAGGGGGCATGGGTCTGATCACTGGTCAGGCAACTAAGATCCCACATGCTGCATGGCACAGCCAAAAAATACCACCAGATTAACCTTTAAATGCAGTATTCTGTTTTCTCCTTTGTACATCTTATGACAGGTTCTTTAGTAAAAAGCAACACTAGTTCCTATGTATTTTAGCACCGCAGTGGGTACAAAATAGACTCGAGAAAATAGAAGATTAAACACTTTCTAGGAGGCTTAGCTGTCTGAGAATTGTAACAAACCCAGGGGGTTGGCGCCCGTCAGAACAAGCCATCATGAAGACCCGTGAGGAGTGGTTTGATCTTTGGGATTTGATGTTGATGGGATCAAAGGAGAAAGCAATGGGGTGAGGATGTGCTCGCTTTCCCAGATTCCCTGTGATGGGGGTACATCATCCCCATTCTAAAATATGGAACATTTCATCTCAGGACAAGACAGTACAAACTGTAGCAAAATAGGTTTGATAAAATATGCCCAGAGCCTTCCGTTTGAGGTAATTTTTAACCATTTTCTAAACACGTTTATCTTTCTTTTACTCTAAGATGTAGAAATAAGCTTAAATATTTGTGTTAGTGATAACAGAAAATCACAAGTTAGTGGGCAAAAACAACCTTGGGGGAGTCCTCTGTGTTACAGCAGCTTGAGCACCAAGGCACACCCCCCCACCCCGTGCACCTAGTCTCATTTCCGTAAACAGAGAACATTAATTTTTATTTGCTTCATGTCGAATGTCTACTTGTGCCTTTTAACATCAGCGTGCGCGTGCTTAGTCGTTCAGTCCTGTCTGACTTTGAGACCCGTGGACTGTGGCCGGCCAGGCTCCTCTGTGCGTAGGATGCTCCAGGCAAGAACACCGGGGTGGGTTCCCTTGCCCTCCTCCAGGGGATCTTCCTGACCCTGGGATCGAGCCCACATCTTTTATGTCTCCTGCATCGTCAGGTGGGTTTTCTTTAACACTTGACCATGTGGGAAGCCTTTTAACATTAGAGACTAAGATGATTTAGTTCAAACTTCATAAACTTTTTGAAGGCCTGCTCTTCCAGATCTTTTCTAGGTGTGTGTACGTATGCATGTGTGTGCACGCATGCGTGTGCACCTATGTTTTGGAGGATTCTGTGAACAGAAAAATAGGCCTGTCCTGGTGGACTATGCAGACCTGCCCACAAGGTCAAATGGCTTACCACATATGATGCAGAATTACCTTCTTCACAAGGGATTTCATTAAGTAGGATCTCTCACATCATATTCAAGACACATTTTCCCAATTTCTTTTCACTTTTGTTGTCTTTGTGTATTTCAAATGTCTATCCTCTTGGACTGGAATCTATTATCTTTTGCGATTTAAAAACAATTTAATTTTTTTTGCCAAATCTTGGAAACGATCATTCTTTCAAAGAAGGGATAAATACACATGAGTTTTTCATGGTTTGATTAATATTTAACTCTTTAATCCAAGTTTTGTTAAAGCGACATTTAAACCACTGTGAACCCTGGTACTTTTCCTTCACCTTTCAGCCCAGCTATCACTCCCAGGAGGTTCTGGGGCTGAACGGGGGTGGGGGGGTCCTGCTGCCTTCTCCCGGGGCGCATTCCTTTCCCTCACGCCACTAATCCAGTGATCCCAGTTGAATCTGATTGTGATGATACGTTTCTTCCTATGACTTATTTAATTTTGTTATGGATAGACTGCAAACACCATGGAAACAGGAGTAAGTTCCGGTTCTGTTCAGCCTCGTATTCTTAGCGAGGCGGCGGTTGATGGTGCTGGAGACGGAACGAGGCGGCAGACCCAGCACACCGTTAGGATGTGAGGTTGTCAGGTCGGGACAAAGTTCCTGGTTCACAGAACTGGGTGAGGGGTGGCATCATTTTCCAACAGAGGAAAACCTGGGAGAGGGCCAGCTGGATGCGCCTTGCAGACACGCAGTGGAGCCGTCGAGCCGACGGCCGTCCATCGGGAGCTCGGAGAGCGACCTGGGCTGGAATCGACGGCCTCAGAGTCCTGGGCATGGTCACAACGAAGACGCCTCTGGAGAGGTTTCAGTGAGAAAAGTACGCAGCTGGGACCAATCCTGGAGAAATGCTAGCGTTTGGAGTTCGGGAAGGGAGACCGAGGCTGAGGAGGAGACAGGGTCCAGGTTCCAGCGCCAGCTCCCTGATTTCTGGTAGCCAGGATATTGCACTGTTTCTTTTTATGGAAAAAAAAATGATCTCATATTCTACAAACTCTGATCTGAGTCATTTGTGTCTCCAGACGAATCTAAATCGTTACTCATGGTTCTAAAATCTTTAATTGAACAAAGATGTGCTGGCTTGTGATGCAGTTAGACCACGTAGCTCTTCTGTTCAAAAAACCGTTCCAAAGGTTAAAATATTGCTCTTTTATCTCCCGTTTCCTGAGTTAGTGAGCTTGATCACCTTTTCTTTTTCTTACATGAATAGGTAGGTGGGAGCCGCCTTAACATTTATTAAGAGCGAGGGGGGAGAGGAGGATGGGGAGGGGCTTGGGGGAGAGGAGGATGGGGAGGGGCTTGGGGGAGAGGAGGACCTGGGGAGGCACATTTCCAGACCCCTGGTGGCTCAGTTGGTAAAGAATCCGCTTGCGATGCAGGAGACCCTGATTCAATTCCTGGGTTGGGAAGATCTGCTGGAGAAGGGATAGGCTACCCACTGCAGTATTCTTAGGCTTCCCATGCGGCTCAGCTGGTAAAGAATCCACCTGCAATATGGGAGACCTGGGTTCGATCCCTGGGTTGGGAAGATCCCCTGGAGAAGGGAAAGGCTCCCTATGTCAGTGTTCTTGCGTGGAGAATTCCATGGACTGTATGGTCCACGGGGTCGCGAAGCGTCGGACACGACTGTCACTTCCCTTCCCAGCCGCAAAACCTCTCCTCCCTCTGCTCCCATCATCAGAGGCCTGACCATGGTTTACTTGGAATAATTCTCAGAACAGAAGCAATCACCTCGCCTGGGGAGAGACCCAAGCTGCCAGGAAGCCTGGACTCGCGGCTTCTCAGATGGAAGACCCTCTGGGGGTGCAGGGTGGAGGGGCGGTGGCCACTGTGCCTGAAGGCAACGCCCCGGATGCCTTTGTGGGTTTGCCCTGTGCTGACACGGGGGAGCGGGGCCTTGGGGTCTCCAAAGCCAAGGGAGGCATCGCAGGGAAAGGCCAACCGAGGCATGGCCTGGAGTGAGTCCATGAGGTCGCGGCGGCCGCTTTCAGTGGGGGCGGTTTGGGGGAGAAGGGGCTTTAAAGGGAGTGAGGAGTGGGTGGGAGGTGAAGAGATACATAGGAGGTAGCAGATGACGCTACAAATTTGATGTGAAGAAGAAGAGGGGGAGGACTGGAGAGGAAGGAAAATCCACGGGAGGGTTTTGGTTTTCTGTCTTTGAGGTGAGAGAACTGAGCATGTTTAAATCTCCCTGGCAAGGATCCCCGGAGAAGGTGAGATGAACGTCCCTGTGAGGGAAGGCGTGAGGATGAGAACCGGGAGGGACGCTCCTGAGGAGGAAGGGGAGCATGGGGCGGGGCTGGGGGCCTTTAAGGAGCGGGAGGGGAGGGAGGGGCAGGCGGGTCTAGGAAACTGCAAGGATGCCCTTGAAATAGGCACTGGGTCCTCTGATCTTGCAAAGGAGGCAACTGAAAGTAGTTTAAAAACTTGGGAAAATTTTCTCACCTTGGAATGGTGAGTTCATGGACGTTATAAGCTTCTGCCCTAATTATTTTTGGTCCCAAGTGAAACCAAGAGTCGCTCATTTGTGTCCAACTCTTTGCGACCCCATGGACTATACAGCCATGGGATTCTCCAGGCCAGAACACTGGAGTGGGTAGCCTTTCCCTTCTCCAGGGGATCTTCCCAACCCAGGGATCGAACCCAGGTCTCCTGCATTGCAGGCAGATTCTTTATCAACGGAGCCACGAGGAAGTCCCATTTTTGGTCCCAAATGAACAGTAAATATGTGTTGAACTGAATTGATAAAAAGCCTCACTATTTCTTAAATCTCCCATTAATGAGTGTTAAAAGCCAAATCTTATGGGTTGCTGATTATGATCCAACGTAGTAAGACACGGACAACCTTCTTCGCCTGGCGAGAGCACATATTTTACAATATACGGACGTTTATATCATGAAGGCCATCAAACTTCTAAATCACATTACCATTGACAAGTTTTTGTTTGAATCCTGTGAAACGTGAGGATGTGTGTCCTGGGTGGGATGGGGGATAAATGAGGAGCTTAGGGTGAACAGATACTCACTACAATATATAAAACAGGTAAACCAGTCCTCGCTGCACGGCACAGGCAACTATACTCACCATCTCGCGCCGGCATGCTCAGGTGTTCAGTTGTGTCCGACTCTTTTGTAAGCCCCTGGCCTGTAACCCGCCAGCCTCCTCTGTCCCCGGGGTTCCCCAGGCAAGAATCTTGGAGCGGGTCGCCATTTCCTCCTCCTGGGGATCTTCCTGACCCAGGGATCGAACCCACGTCTCCTACTTGGCGGGCGGACTCTTGGCCACTGAGCCACCTGTGAAGCCCAGATTAGAGCCATCTAACTAGTGGCCCAGTTCTAGAAAAGGGACCCCACACGCAACCCCCAAAGAGGAACCGACATGGAGGGGAGAGTGGCGGGAAGGGTAAGGAGGGCGGGCAAGGAGGACGGACCGGGGAAGTGATTCCCTGACACACAACGTCCTTGCGGGTTGCTGTGACCCTGACTCCCAGCAGCAGCTCCTAGCGCCCCCACCAGACCGAGGACACCTCCCCCCAGGAGAATTTAAGGACCAGCCCGATAAGGAGAGAGGAAACAGAGATGTGGGGGTGAGATTGGGAGATTTAGGGCGGTGCCTGTCAGAGGCCTCTTGCCACCTACATCAGACTGCTGGCACGCCCGCGAAGAGGGCAGATCCTTGGACCCTGGACCGGCTCCAC